CTGTGGTATGATTCTTTTAATTCTTTGGGGAAGATACCCAGCAGGGGAATAGATGGGTCAGATGGGACTTCCAGTCCTAGTTCTTTGAGGTATCTCTATACTGATTTCCACAGTGCTGTTTTATACTTTGTCACATGAAAATAGAATTTAAAAATTAATCTAACATGATAAAAACAAAAGCTAGTGGGCGATTCAGAATAGTTAAATAAATACGTCTAAATTAAGAATACTTTCTTTCAGAGATCCTTTAAAGTGGAGAGCGGTGATTGGAACCAATAATCTACACAGGAAGCATTCACGTACCAAGAAGATAAAAATTAAAGCAATCATTGTCCATTCAGGCTTAAGGACACTTATGTAAATGATATTGCACTTTTCCATTTAAAAAAAGCCGTGAAGTATAATGACTATATTCAGCCTGTCTGTCTACCTTTTGATGTTTTCCAAGAACTGGATGAAAACACAAAGTGTTTTATAAGTGGCTGGGGAAGAACAAAAGAAGAAGGTAATTATAGCCTGAATTTTATTGATACACATATTCCTACTTATTGGCAAAGGAGGATCAATGCTTTTACATACAAATATTCTTTTATATATATCTATTTAAAACTTTTAAATTTTTATTTTTTTGCTGTGCCAGGGGCTGAGTCTGGTGCTTTTTGCATGCAACGCAAACACTAAACAACTGAGCTGCATTCCCAGCCCCGTTTTATGTGTTTATTACTTCTGTTGTGATTGTGAAATACAGATCTTCATAAACTAACAAAAAGGAAATTTTTTGGTCTGTATTTCCTCCTTATGTGAGGGAGAGAAACTCTCTCCCAAAGCAGATGCATACAGAGACTTTATCTGGTTATGTTCGCCAAGATAAGCAGACTTGTAGACAGTTGAAGACAGAGTGATATTTCCCAAAGTTTCATTGTCTGTGAATCAGCTGCTGAATCAGCTCTGCAGTTTTTGCTGAGGTGGCCACACCTAAAATCTTAGCTCCTCAGGAGGCTGAGGCAGGAGGATCTCACATTTGAGTCCAGCCTGGATCTCTTAATCAGACCCAATCTCAGAATTAAAAAATAAGAACAGCTGGGTGCATAGCTTGGGACCCCAGGCTCAGGCTGTGAGGATTCTCATTTCCTTTTTATTTTTCTTTCTTTCTCTATTTAGTATCACAAAGGTTGACTGCCATGTATTTTCTTCAGTCCACAGAGGCACTAAGTGTTGATTCTGAACCAATGGGAGTAATAAAAACAGAACACGCAGTCTCTACCTTTAGTAATATTGACAGGTACCTCTGGGAACATTTGGAAGTTTTAGGCTCTATTTTAAGTATATACTTTACTGTAGATTAAAGTACAACTTTATTGTAGAACTCCCAATATTCCTATTGGGATTCAATGTAATTATGTAGTGTTTCATTTAATAGATTAGGAATTAAAGATCTTAGATGTTAAGAAGTGGGGAGCTGGCCAGGTATGTAGATGCACGCCTATAATCCCAGTGCTCTGGGAGGCTGAGGCAGGAGGATTGCAAGTTCAAGCCCAGTCTGGATAACTTAGGGAGATTTTGCCTTAAAAAAAAAAGAGAAAGTGAGGACTCAAATCCAAGTCTTTGCGATTCTAAAGCCTGAATATTTAACCATTACATCAAACTGTACTTGAGGGAATCATAGTCCAGTTAGGAAAATGTGAGATCAAGTACTGAGATTTTTTTCCCCACTTTTTAATATTTGTCAACTGTTTACAGACAGAATAGAAGTAAATGTACTAAACATATGTGGCTTATTATTTTTCTTTTTCCCATCTGTGGACACTTTCAAGAAAGATAAGGGAAAACAATACGGTGTAGGGAAAAGAGCATGGGCTTTAGAATCACAGACCTGTCTGAAGCCCAGCCCTGCCATATTCCAGCTAAATGATCATGGACATGTATGTTATTGAGTTTTGTTTATTTATTCATTTATTTATTTTTTTGGTACCGGGGATCAAACTCGGGTCCTTGCTGTTATTGAGTTTTACATGGAAGCAATTATCATTTATTCAGGGCTAGGGACTTAATAAAACATTAAACAAATATTTTAAATATATTATCTTATTTAATGTACTCCATTTAATATCTCATTATTAATACTACTATGAAAAATACAACATGAGGGCCAGGGATTTAGCTCAGTGGTTCTGCCCCCCGCCTTGCAAGTGCAAGGTCCTGAGTTCAATCCCCGGTACAAAAAAACCCCAACAAACAACCCTCCCCCCCAAAACAATAACAACATGAATGGGTAAAATGAAGCTTAAGGAGGTTAAATTAATTTCCAAAATTATACAGCTGACAGATTCAAAATTCAAACCCAGGCCTAACTGTCTCAAAACTCATGTGTTTTTACTATACTGTATCATCTTTCACAGTGTCATATAGTTTCATGATCTGTAAAATGAGAATAATATCCACATAAGGGTAAAAGAATTGAATCAATAGTTTTCTTTTTCAAAAATAAAACACCAGAATTCAGGTCAAAATGAGTTTTACCAGAATTATCAGAGACAGATTATTTAAATATTTTTTTTGTTGTTTTTTTTGGGACCAGGGATCAAACTCTGAACCTTGAGCTTGAGAGGCAGAGGAGGTACCACTGAGCTAAATCCCCAGCCCCTGTTTGGTTTTTGACACAGGGTCTCACTATGTAGTTCAGGCTGGCCTTGAACTCACTATGTATCCCAGGTTGGCCTCAAACTTGGCGATCCTCTTGCCTCAGCATTTTTTTGTTTTTTTGTTTTTTTGTTTTTGGTACCTGGGATCGAACTTGGGTCCTTGCGCTTGCGCAGCAGGTGGCGAAACCACTGAGCTAAATCCCCGGCCCTTGCCTCAGCCTTCTGAGGCTGGGATTATAGGTATGCACCACCATGCCTGCAGATTAAAAAAAAAAAAATTTTTTTTGTTTTTGTTTTTTGAGACAGGGCCTGTGCAGCCCAGGATGGCCTTGAACTCACAGCAATCCTTGTGCCTCAGCCTCACAATTGCTGGGCCTATAGGCATGAGCCACCATCCTCAGCCAAGATTTAAATCTTATACTTCCAAATAATCCAAAAAAGAGGGAACACAATGAAGCATGTGACAACAATAACCTCCATGTCAAAATCAAGTAACCACAGTATAAGAAAGGTCCATGGAGGAACTCCAAAAATATCAGGATACTGAATCGGTCAAGTATATGATGAATACAAATTACAACCAAGTGACGTTTATCTCAAGTACCCAAGGGTAGCTTAAGGGTAGTTTAGAAGTCTCTTAATGTAATTCACAAACTGCTTCACTGAAAGGTAAAATATTATCTCAATAGATGCAGAAGTGTTGTTAAAAATTCTTGAATTTAGATGCAAAAGGAAACTTCCTTAAATTGACTAAGGTTATCTAACTCCAAACTCTAGCAAACATCATTATTCCCTTTAAAATCAGAAACAATTACCCCATAATTACTACTTTTATTCAATTTTGTAAAGTACCAGCAAGCACAACAGTACTAGAAAAAAAGATTTAAAAAGGACACACAAGAAAGGAAATAAAACATTTATTAGTCACAGATTACATGACTGTTTACACTAAAACACAATCTAAAATCCATTGGAATTGAGTAAAGTAACCAGAAGTAGGACCAATGTACAGAACATCCATTTCATATGGGATGAGATGGTGCACACTGTGATTCCAGCACTCAGGAGGCTGAGCCAGAAGAATCCAGAGCGCAAGACCAGCAAGGGCCACATTTAGTGAACTGTATCAAAAATAGAAAGACCTGAGGTTCTAGTTCAGTTGTAGTGCACTTGCCCAGCATGTGCAGGCTCTGGGTGGAATTCCCAGTACTGAAAAAAATAAATCTATTTTATACTAGTGTAGAGCCATTAGCAAAAATAAGAAAATCTAATTTTAAAAGTTAGCAGAGGCCACACCCACAAGGAGAATATAATCGAAAAGTTGGATGATGACAAACACTAAGGAGGATGTGAAGAAACTGGAATCCTCATTCATTGCTGGTGGGAATATAAATTGGTACAGCTGCTTTGAAACATGATTTGGAAGTTCCTCAAAAAGCAGTTCAACTTCTAGGTATAAATGCAAGAGAAGGGAAGACTATAGCCATACAAAAGCCTGTACAAAAATGTTCATAGCAGCAGCATCTGTAATAGCCAAAAACTAGAAACCACCTGGCACATGGATAAACAACATATGATTTATTTATATAATGGAATGCTAAGCTATAAAAAGGAATAAAATATCAATGCTTGCCTAACATTATGCTAAGCAAAGCTGGACATAAAGGACCATATATTGTCTGGTTCCATTTATAGGATGAAATGTTCCAAATACGGGAATCTAAGAGACAGAAAGTAGATTAGTGGTTAATAGCTGGGGAAGTGGGCAGTTACTATATGATAGAGATAAATAAAATATTACATAATTGTTAATCAGTCACATTGGGATGAAAACCCACTAACCCCCCCCCCTCTTTTTTTGAGACAGAGTCACACTGTGTAGCCCAGGCTGGCCTCAAACTCCCGGTGACCTCCTGCCTTAGCCTCCCAAATGCTGGGATTACAGGTGAGTCCCACCACGCCTGGTATAAGCATCAGCATTTCAAATCACTGTAAAAACGCCTGCTCTCTAAAATATTCTAGTGGGTTTTTTGTTGTTGTTAACAGGTGATGGCACACACATATTACAAGAGGCAGAAGGGCACCACATTTCTCGGAAATTTTGTGACTCAGACAAGTTATGCAGGAGTGATTCCTAACACCTCATTCTGTGCAGGTGATGAAAATGGAGACTTCGATACTTGCAGGGTAAGACCGAGTAATTTTCCCTAAAGATTTTTTTTAAAAGTTTATTTCATTGTGATTTTTGATTTGTATTTTGCCTTTTTTTTTTTTTTTTGGTACCGGGGATCGAACCCTAAAGATATATTCTAAAGCCAGAAGAGAACTTGAAGAACTTTGATTACTTTCTGATGATCTTAGTTATCAGGACTAAATATACTAAATTTTTTTTTTCCTCTAACTGCTAAACAATCCAACTCTTTGTTCCTGGTTCTTTGATTTTTACCTTCATCAGGGTCAAACTTAGGCATAACTTCCCTTGAATCTTTCTTTCCTTCTTTTATTTAAATAATCTTTAAGATATAATGCACTTATTTACAGTATAGAATTCAAGTTTTTAGTATATTTATGAACTTGTGCAGCAATCTAACTTTAGGACATTTTCACCTCAAATAGAAGCCCATACCTGTTAGGGATCACTCCTCATTTTCCTCCCACCTACCCCTAGCCCACCACTAATCTCTGTGGAATTGTATATTCCGAACGCTTACTATTCTGGACATTTCTGGAATAATTCAATATGTGGTCTTTCATAACTGGCTTCTTTCCCTTAGTAAGCTTTCAAGGTTCATCTGTGTCATAGAATGCATGAGTACTTTATTCATTTTACTACGATTACATCATTGTGTAAATAAGTCACATTTTATTCATCAACTCAGTTGATGGTCATTTGGGCTGTTTTCATTGTGTATCTATCATAAATAACATTGCTATGACTTTTTTTTTTTTGGTACCAGGGATTGAACTCAGGACTCGCGCTTGTGAGGCAGGCGGTGGAACCACTGAGCTAAATCCCCAGCCCTTGTTTGTTTCTGTGTGTCAATGTCTTCATTTCTGAGAAATTCCACCTCAGAATGGAATTATCAAGTCGGTGTTGAACAGTTTCATGAACTGCCAAACTGTACTCCAGAGTGGGGACACCATCTTCTAGCCCACAAGCAATATTTGAGGGCTCCAGTTTCTCCTCATCTTTGTTGGTATTGGCTATCATTGTCTTTTGGATTACAGCCATCTTTGTGTATGTGAAGTGGTGCCTCACTGTGATTTTATTTGTATTCTCTAATGACTAATGATGAATGTCTTTGTATGTACTATTAGCTGGTTGCATATCTTCCTGAATGTCTCTTTGGATCCTTTCCCCATTTTAAGATTATCTTTTTATCATTGAGATATAAACATTTTTGTAAATTTATTCTGGATACATGTCCCTTACTAGATATATGTTGTGCAAGTATTTTCTCTTATTTTGTAGAATGTCTTTGCACTTTTCTGATGTTATTTGTAGTATACAAGTTTTAAATTTAAGGAAATTCAACTTTTTTTTTTTTGTCTCTTGAGGTTATCTTTTCTTTGCTCCCATGCTGGAGAATGAACCCAGGGCTTCACACATGCTAAGCAAGCACTCTATCACTGAGGTACATCCTAGCCACTCCTGTGGTTTTTGACTCTATCCTTCCTTTATTTACCAGGACCAGGTCTATCAGCCTTTCAAGTTCGAGGGTACTACATGCTGTCATCTTTTCCTACTCATTATTTCTGCAGTCTCAGGTTTATCTTTCCTGTGTCCTTTGCCTTAAAAATCTAGATGAGTAAAATAGTAAAGAATACAATCTAATTTTGAATTTCTAGGCAAAATATCTTTACTATCAAAAAATAATTATTCAACATCTGCCTTTCACAGAGAACGGTGAACACTCAGGAACACTCCTTAGCCTTTAGGGACTGACAGTTACCCTGGTGTCTTTGTTGCTTTGAAGGCATTAACAATCCCTAGGAACAGTTTTGGGTGCATCCTATTAAACTATGAAGGAGACTTATTTATAATACTAGAGTCTTCCCAATTTATTCTCATTTTTCTGCACTAGCCAATGTCAACACTTAAAAAGATGACATCTTTTGCAAGACACTAATTTGCTTATCTCCTCTAGCTAGTAAATCTTGTGTACACACATTTGGAAGAATCCTTCATACATCTTAAAATTATGCCTTTCACATAGTGTTGAGAAATATTCTAATGAGCAGTTTTTACAATATTTTGCACACTTAAATTATATTTCTTCTGAGTAACTGTATTTTAAAAATCCAAGCAGTTTCATTTATAGTATTCTCATTCAAAAGTGCAGATGAATTTATGTACTAGTTGTATGGTTCTCCCAATACCTGGGCACATTCAATACCTCCTAAATTGGAATATTAAACTAAAAATATATTGATCACTCCCCACATGGTGTTAATGTGTTAAGAGGGCCCATTACAAGTTGTATGCCCTGGGTGCCTTTCTACTGCCACATTAAATCCTGTACTTCCTTTTCCACATGTCAATCTTTTTTTTTTTTTTTTTTTTAAAGAAATTGAATTGTATTGAAGCTCAATGATTCCCATAGTAAATAGATTACAATAAAACTCTAGTTGTTGGCTAAGTTCCATTAATCTTTAAAAATTCTCTTTGACTTTTTCTCCTGGTCTTCTGTTATCCTCTCTGCAGGTCACTTCTTCAATCCCTTCATTTTCCTTGTTTGTAGTTTGCTTAGGTCTTGTTTCTGCATATGAATCCTTCCATAAGTTGTACCAACAGTATCATGGGACATCTTTTTCTTCTTCCTTGGCTTGAGAGCTTTTGGCATTTTCATAGATAACTTATAAAGGTCATCTGAGGCCAGGCGTGTCCTCCTCAGAACCAGATCCAATGAAGGTCCCATCTCTTCTAACTCAATCCGTGGTGTTCTGCAACCAGATTTCTTCAACAGCAACTTATAGCTTCAAAAGTAAACCTTCCCCTTCAGAGCAGTGAAGTGCAGAACATACTCTAACCCAGCCAGGCAGATGTTTGCTACTGTGGGGCCTCTGAAGAAATCTGCCTGGCAAACACAAGGTCCTGAGTTCAATTGCAATAAGACGACTTTTTAGTCTTCTGTAGTGTCAAAATCATCACCAGCAAATATTAACATGGGTTTTGTTCCCTCAGGACATTTACTGTTCTTAATATCTTTTAGAGACACAAATTTCTCAATACCTAATTCAACCATATCCAGCACATGGTAGTCATACATATAACCTATTACTAGGTTATTGGGCCCCTTATTATGGGATCCAAACATGAATAAAGAACAGTCTGACTTCTTTGAAAAGAACTCTTGTGATGTCTGATCCTCAAATGGTCTTGAAATATTTTTCTTTTTATACGGAACTCCATATGGTTTTTTCAGTGCATACATGTCTTTCAGTACTTGTGTCACTGTTGCATTTGCATTTCCCCCTTTGATCAGGATAGCATTTTTATTATTTTCACTAAGTTCCGGTTCTCTCTTCTCAAGGCATCTCTTGGCCCTTTTTGTTTTGGGCTTTATAACTTGGTCCAAGGCGTCCATTGCTACCACCTCCTCCACATGTCAATCTTTTATTTTCTCTGCAAGTCATTCTTTTGTTTTGGTTTTTTTTTTTTTTTTGGCTTAAATTCTTTTATCGGTAT